TCTAGAAAACCCATTCACCCAAGACCTACACCCATGTCATAACTTTTCTAGATATCTGTGTCAAAATTTAATGGTGATCCTTTGGGGTCCTACTCACATTAGTGTGGGAGGGTCTCATAGTGTCATTTCTCATATATATATATATAATTACTTTTTCTATCACACATCAGGATCAGATATATATACTCTATAAAATCAGATGCTGGTAAATTGATAGATTCTGTAACTGCAGGTACTACTCGACCCAACAGCTGACTGTGAAGAGCGATGTATTCAGCTTCGGAGTGGTGCTGTTGGAGATCATAAGTGGCCGTGAGCCTCTCAATATACACAGGCCCCGTAGTGAATGGAGCTTAGTTGAATGGGTGAGCTTTTCCAGATCCATGATCCATAAAATGTTTGCATTCTTGGCCGCCATTTCAAGAGATTTTTCTGTTTTTTGTTATTTGGATTGGTCAACTACTAAGGATTCAGTTGCCATAAGTACACCACGATCAACTGGACCGTGGATAAACCATTGCCCCATAGGGTCATCAATGAAAGGAGCGGGATGAAGAAAGTGGAACCCCCTATTGGGACAATTTCTTTGTTGCACTCCATCCAGAGTTTTCTCATTTTGTCAGCTGGGAAAGATGACTCAATGTGCTATGTTTTTGCTATATGATGCATAGGATTAGAGTATATACTTCGTAAAACACATGTTTACGTTTGAGCTCTTAGAAAGTGGGTTTTGGGGTTGGGCTTTCAGGCAAAATCACTTATAAAGGAGGGGAAGATAGAGGATGTAGTGGACCCAACCATAAGGTCAGCATATGCAGGGGAGGCCATGTGGAGGATGGTGGAAGCTGCATTGACTTGTGTAGAGACATTCGGGACGTATAGGCCATCGATGGAGTATGTGGTGCGCGAGCTTGAGGATGCATTGATCATAGAGAACAATGCGTCCATGTACATGAGGTCCATCGAAAGCTTTGGGTCATGTCGCTTTCCCTCCCTTGAGAGAAAGAATTCCCTCTCACCACCCTCTGCCACCCCCTCTGAGCCTTCTCCCATCAACGCCCAAGCCTTGCCCCTGCCAGTGCCAAGATAACTCTCTCTCTCTCTCTCAATTTTATACATAAGAATGTGTCAACCATTTGTATAGCATAATGATGGTGAACTTTGAGAAACTATTTTTTGTCAGGCATGATTTTTATTGGATTCACAAGCAATCGTCAAACTTACCTGATAATTCTGGTTGTTGCTTTATTTTTTGCATTAAATATCATGTTGGCTAATGTTGAATGAAATTCACTTCTGTTGGTGTAGCTTAGACTGAAAAATTTTAATACGGAGGCATGACCTCAATTTCATGGAATTGGGCATTGAGCTGTTTGCCTTTGAATCGTAAGTAATGATTGCTTAGTTGTAAACTATGATTTTTTGGTGGTGGAAAAGTATATATTGAGACTATTTACCTTTGGTACAAGGTGGTCACAATTAATTTTGACCATTAGATGTGAAATTGGATGGCTGTATTTATTCCATTGACTAAGCTCGAACTTCAAAATAAATTTTCTTGAATTTTGTGACACATCCAAGCTATTAGATTTCACATCGGATGATTGCAAGTAATTGTGATCGTCTTGTATCGAAAGTAAATGATCTCGTAGCATAGAACCCTTTATTGGTATATCTTGCAATTACGACTTGATAGCTTGGAAATGTTTGCTTGTACATGGCACGGTTAAGTCCCTTGTTTGATGGACATGCACTTTTGGGGGCCGTGTGAAACCTGCCAGGCTCGTTTCTTTTCAGTAGGGGGTGCCAGCAGGGTGGGCCAGGTTGCGTTGGTGTGCTTTGTGCCAAGTTGGTGGACTTGTTGTGGGTTGGCTCGTTTGGGGGTTATGTGAAACCTGCCAGCCACGTTTCTTTTCTATAGGGGGTGCCAGCAGGGCGGGTCGTTTGGGCCTAGTTGTTGGACCTGTGGGTTGGCCCTGGGTCTCTCTCTCTCTCTCTCTCTCTCTCTCTATATATATATATATATATATATCAAAATCAGATTTGTAGTTGTTCTTATGAACAAATACTTATGTTATTGGAACTAATGCTTTGTAGAGTATGTTATCCTATTTTGAAATTGGTTTTTTCTGTAGTAGCAGAGCTTGTCACAACATAGGTTTGAGCAAAGTTGATTTATTCATTAGTAAAGCAGGAGCCAATGGAGGTGCGATGATGTAAACGCCCAAGCTAGGAGGAGCCACTGGAGGTGCCATGATGAAAAAGTCCAAACTTCACAAGTTACAGGATGCAGTTATCCGAGAAAAAGATCTGCTTGTGATATGATATAGTTTTAAAGAAAGAAAAAAATCTCCTTGTAGTTTTAAATTTGATAGATCAAGCCTTAAATAAAGAAGTTTTACTTGAAGAAAAACAATGCCAAGGGGATTGCAGAAAAAAAAAATTAGTAGGGGTCCTACCTGTAGGATTTTTTAGGTAGGTTTTTCCTATTTTTATTTAAGAATATGTAATTTACAAGCCAAAATATTATATGCTACTGAAAAAGATAACGTCCAAGATCCCAAACTTTGAACATGTTTAACTCAATATCCATTTTTTTTTTTTGGAAAAATATCATTTAAGGGGGTTAAAATCCTTGCAAAATCATTGTGGTGGCTAATTTATTCTACATAACATTCGAGGGTTTGCCTTTTTATTTTATTTCACTAGGTACCTATTCAAAATAAATAAATAAATTAAGTGTCTAAAATGTCCTTGTTTAAAGGTTTATAAGGATGAATTTGACCCTCAATTGAATGACAAAAATAACAGTACTTATTCATGATTACAAATAAGAACCACATTATTCAAAGTTCGTAATGAGGAGTAATTAGGTATTTATGTCATTTGATACATGCAAGGAATAAAAATATCCCTAGTTGTTTACTACTAACTTTGAACAATGTGCTTCTTATTTGTAAATCTAAATAAATAGGGATATTTTATCTTTCAATTGAAGTTCGTTGGGATGAAATTATTGAAATGTCTCTAGTTGTTCAAATTTTCGAAATTTAATTGTTGTAGGAGGTAAAAAAAATAGAAATAAAATGCCTCACATATATTAGTTACTCACATATTAGTTAAGATCTTTTGACCCCTTTTATGACTTTGTAAGGAATTGCAACCCCTTAAACGATATTTCCCTTTCCTTAAAAATATTTATTTGTTGATTCTAAAGTAGATTATAAAAGCTCATGTGCCGGAGGGAGTAAGGTACAATGTGCTCCCACGTGAAAGCATACTCTCTACTTACTCCTTTGGCCAAAAGAATGACCTAGGATGATTCTTATGATTGATTTGGATTCAGCTATGAATTATCATACAACTATATTTTTCAAACAAAAATATTTCGATTACGAGTTCCTAATCCAAAAATAAGACATTTTTCGCTCGATTACAGTTTTTGATATTTCCCCTTTCTATGAGGCGGGTCACTAAGTTGAAGAAGTTAAATCTTCAAAATTTGGAGTTCTAAAAATACTCGTGAATTGGGCAACAGGTGGAACTAACCATCGGTATAGATTCTTTTGACATTTATACATATGGGATTGTATACAATACGATCATTTACCTTTGATATAAGGTGGTCACAATTCCTTACAACCAATAGTTTAAAAAGCGGATCGGTGATCTTGATCGGGCACCTCAAAAATCGATCCGGATCGGTCAATTCGCGATCCGGATCAGGAATCGATCGGATTAAAGCTTCAAAAAAATCCAAAAAATTATTAAAATTCATTATAAAAGTTGTTTTTTAGGAATTCAATAAAAAATGAGGATACTACATTATTAACTTTCATTTTTTTTATCAATTTGTGAATATTGATATGTTCTTTCTCTGTATAAACTTATTTTAACTATTAAATTTGCATCACATAAAAAAAAAATCATAGAATTATCATGGATAAAATATATAATTATATATGGACTATTATAAAGAGTAGACTAATCAATGAAAGAATGGCCATTAAAATCTCGTTTTGGCGAAAAACCCTAACCCGCTAAAAAAACCCAAACTATTACAGCATAACTAACTATAATCCAAAATTATTACAACATCACTAATTATAATATTATATACTGAAATTATAATTATTAGTTTACATTTTATAATTATTTATTAGACAAATAATAACAAATTAAAAATATTTTTATAATATTATCTAATTTAAAATGTATTATTGGCAACTGTAAGAAAAATAGTACATTACAGGATTTATAATGTAAAAATTCATAAATAAAATGAAAGATTTGGTTATCAATGTAAAAATTAATAAAATGTGTACAAATTTTGGAAATAACACTTCAATTTTTTAAAAATTTATTTGTTTAGGTTTCTATAATAAATTTAGTAAAAGAGATTGTTAGTAGATAGATGGAGATTTCAAATAGAATAAACTTTTTATTTTTATTTTTTTTATACCTTTCATATTATTTACAAAAATAATTATACCACTATATACAACAAAAATTAACTGTTATATAAAAAATAATTTTTTTATTTTTCATTTTCTTATATCTTTTATATTATTTACAAAAATATTTATACTTGTACCAACCACTATATACACAACAAAAATATTTATATTTATACCAACCACTATATATACAACAAAAATGCAACACATGCTCAAGGGGATTCGAAAACAACAAAAATATTTATACCAACCACTATATACACAACAAAAATGCAACACATGCCCAAGGGGATTCGACCTTGGAACCT